CTCTCTCTCTCTGTGTGTGTGTGTGTGTGTGTGTGTGTGTGTGTGTGTGTGTGCGCGACAATGACAAATGCCCCAACGCCGGATGGCCAAAACAGGACAAAAAAGGTGCTTTCAATAAAAGAAAGAAAAAGGTGAAAAAAGGCTTGATTTTGTTTCTTTATTTTTCCTACGAATGAGACTACATGGCCTGGGGTCTGATGCCGTTGTTCAGTAACTACGTGGCCTGCCACCCTATGCTTTTTTCTTTTTCTACTGCCTTAACCTGTGGATACTTCATGCGTGGGTAGTCAACATAGTAGTTTAATGCGATGTATGTACGACCGTACATTGCAATGTACTCAGGTAGAAAGGAAAGAATAAAAATTTGTCCGGCACACCTGGGTGTTGTTTCAACATTCATTAAACCACCAGTACTTCGCCCAGTAGGAATTAACAGTGTTCGAGGCAATGGGAACGGGAGTTTGCGAGGGGGTAAGGACCCTGTGCACCGGCCACGCCGAAGCGTGCTGGTACGAAGCGATGCCTAGGTATTCAAAGTCGGGACTCGTCTGCTATATCTTGGAGCGCTAAGCACGAGCCAGGCTGCTAAGCCTAACGATTGCTTAGCAATGTTGCTACGTCTAGGTGCGAGTCTGTCCTTAACGGACGGTAGCAGGGGGATAGTAAAATGAATGCTGTATTCTGTATGGCGATACTCTGAATATGACAGAAGATCAGCATGGCCTGATGAACGCAGGCGTGGCCACGTCCTTACTATGGAGAGGAGGAGTTGAATGCTGACGAATGACTGCACAGATGCATTCACTTTCAACAACAATTTTTTGAAGAATGATGAAAAAGCTGCACAGGCAACATATGAGACAGCTGACTGAGAAGATTCTGCAGAGAAGGTCACCTTTGGAGCTGGTATAGCCTCTTTGTTTTGCAGTCTCGCCAGAAAATTCTGGAATAGAGGGAAGGGCGGCGCAATAACACGAGTCCATATAAGTAGTTGGGATACAAGGGAGTAAGATTTGGTTGGAAGGAGTCCGGAAATGACCGGGTAGTGGCAGAAAGCTGACAAGGATAGGCCCCTCTTGATAGGGAGGGGGAAATAGTGAGTGTCACGGCCAGGTTCCTAAGCCCTGGCATAAACAATGACCCGACCTAGGTAGCACATCGAAAAACATGTTCGGAGCTTTTCGGAACATCTTAACATGTTCGGGTGTTCAGCTGAACCCCTCCTGAACGTGTTCGGTCGTTAAAAAAAAAAAAGAAACAAAAAAGAAGGTTTTTGATTTTTAACACAGTTTGATTACGAATTTGAGCATACCTCCCAGGCAAAAGCTGTTTGTATTATCATTTCACATAACATATATATTTTTTCAGATATTTCTGAGATTTGTTTCTTTTTTAAAAAATATTTTTATGCTCGCGTTCGGAGGGTTTTGGCGCTTGTTCATGTTCGGTTGCGAACGTTCGGGTTCGGTAACGAATATGCTGCAGTGCAGAGTTCAATAAAGGAGACAGATATGAAAAAGCCAGGTGTAAAAAGGTGGAGAAATGTTGAGGGACAGCTAAGCACGGGAATGGACGTGATGGGCACACCATTGGGTAGTGGTGAGAGGCAGTGTTGTCACGCGGGGATCCCCGGGGCCCAAGCCGGGGTGGGGGTTTCACCCCCACAACCCGGCCACATGGATCCCCGACCCCTGGCCCCTCCTAATTACCCCCGCACGTGCCCCACCCCCGCA